AAGTATAGTCATTTAGACACACCCTGAGGTATGCACACCTAAGGGAAGAAAGGTGAAGTATAATTCATGTGAATCACTCCTGAAATAGTGACCCAACAATCACCAGTCATTCTTTAAAAGTTGGGATTCCATTTAACTCAGAAAAATTCAGTACAGGCTGGAAATTTCATCGGCTTAATCTATTTTAATTTTGACAAGTTCTTGAATTTATTTATTTTTCTTTTCACATAGTTTTAAGTTCAGTATATAACATCAGTAAAAAGGTTGCATCTTATAAATCACTGGTTGTTCCAATCACCATATTTGTCAGAATCCTTTAATGCCCCAAAGTAGCTTAGTAAAATCTTTACAGTCTACTTCAATGTCTTCTAAATATCACATTAAATGGAGATGATGATGGGCTCATGCATGAAGGAAAAAAGTGAGCCTTGTTACCATCATCTCTGATTCCTGATTTATAAAGTTCATAATTTGATTTGTGATTTACAAAGTTCATAGTTAAAGTTTCATTGATAATGGAAAGCCAATTAATTAATATATACAAGATAATAAGGTAGTTAGGAGCAACAAAAATTGCACTTAATCTGCTCTCACTGAAGAAGAGATGATGAATGCCAGGCCTAGTGATTTGATGACTTCTTCAGTACAAAGATCACTAACACTAAGTAGAAAAAATAATTAAACAAGGAAACAACTGAAAAAGCACTTCAATCAATTTTCCTCTTTTGTTTACTCTAAAGAATTCAAAGTTTTATCCCTATTAATAATGACACAATGAGACAAATGCATATTGTTACAGGAAATGTTTATACATTTTTTTCAGTATGGTAAAGAGTTGGTTCAATTATCATTTTCTATTTTCTGACACCTTAATATATCTATAATGGAGAGTTACTGGTGTTTATCATAACATTAAGAGACTGCAAGATCTTGAAATGCTTTCTTAATAGCAAGAATTAATGTTCAATTATATTGAACAGGATCTCAATGTTGAGTTATATTTTTCCCCCAATTTTTCATTATGAGAATGTTCATGTACCTGAAATGTTGAAATACCGGCATGGATACTAGTATACTACTCTACACTCAATAACTGCTGACTTTTTTAATATTCACTTTTCCTCTCTCTCCATATATGCACATATACACACAATCTTTTGTTGTTGTTTAACCATTTAAAAGTAAATTGTAGTCATTATGATGCTGGCTGAATGTATCTTAGTGTATTACAATTCTTTAAAGTATAATTGTATATAAAATACATGATGTTATATTCACATATAAAATATATATTCATGTAAAATATTTTGATTATAATTACATGTTAATTTCCCATAAGGATAGTTTATTAGCCCAAACAGGCAGTTGTCTAAACACAGCAATTCATTTTATATTTGTTATATGTTTATTCTGTCCTGTACTTAACCATTATAAAATGTCTCCATGAAAGCTGGTGCTTTATTCTGTTTTCCAATGGATATATCAGAGCATTAGTCTATGATCACCCAGACATTTAAGTGCCTAATGATTATCAGTGTTTTTTTTAATGGGAAAATAAGTCTCATTACTAGTGTAAACCAAATCCTTTCAAAAATATTAAACTATGAGAAAAGGCCTTAATATGTCCACAAAAGAGAAATTTGGGTAAACTTCCATAAAAAAGTGTCTAAATCAATCTTGAGAAAGAGGAATAATGTTATTAAAAATTAACTGTAAAGGAGATAAAAAATATTTCTCAGATATAAACATATTTATATATTAATTAAATCACCTATATATTGGATGAATTTCCTTATGTTTATTAACTTTCTTAAATATGATATGTTTCAGCCGGGTTCGGTGGCTCAGCCTGTAATCCCGCGCCTTTGGGAGGCTGAGGTGAGTGGATTGCCTGAGCCCGCGGGTTCAAGACCTGCCTGGGCAGCAAGACCTCATCTCTACAATAAAATCAAAAAAATCAGCTGGGCGTGGTAGCGCATGCCTGTAATTCCGGCTACTTGGAAGGCTGAGGTGGAAGGATCGCCGGAGCCCAGCAGGTTGAGGCTGCAGTGGCCGGGAGTGGCCACTGCACTCCAGTCTGGGTGACAGAGTGAGACTCCAACTCAAAAAAAAAAAAAACAAAAAATGATATGTTTCACTCATCTTCAGATAAAATATTGAATGAAATATTTTAAAATTTATCTTAGAGTTTCTCTCTTAGAGATAGTGCTATGGGTAGAATTATATCCTTCCCCAAAAAGAAATATTATCCTAATTCCCAGTATCTCAGAATGTGATCTTATTTAGAAATTGTGTTGTTGCAGATGAAATTAGTTCAGTTTAACTCATAGTGAGGTAGGACAGGCCCCTAATCCAATAGGACTGGTGTTTTTATAAAAAGGAAAAATTTTGGACACCGGCATGCACAGAGGGAAGAGGATATAAAGATACAAGGGGAAGAAAGTCATGTGACAACAGAGGCAAAAATTAGATATGATCAACAAGTCAAGGAATGCCAAGGATTGTTGGCTATCACCAGAAGCTAGAAGAGGGTCATGGAACAGATTCTCACAGATTTCAGAAGGCATCAAACCTGCCAGCACTTTGGTTTTGGATTTCTAGCCTCTAGAACTATGAAATAATAAGTTTACGTTGTTTTAAGTCAGCCAGCTTTGGACAGTTTGTTCGGCCAGGTCTAGGAAACTATGACTGCTATATAGGCAACAAGCTAAGTTTCAAACCTCTTAGACTTAGGTCTAGTCATAAAATTCTCATTTTACCTGAGGAACTATAGTCATCTCACAGCTGTTGGTTGAACCATATAATATTGCCATTTTGTAGGTCAAAATGGCTTAACAGAGATGATTTTATGTGGTTCAACCTAATAGATTACATAAACAATTCAAGTTTTCTGAACAATTTTTTTCTGTCAGGAGCAAACCTTTGGCTGAATTCTCTAAGAAAATATTTTCCCTGCATTATTTTCCCTCTGTAAATAGATTCTTAGGCTTCATTCATTTCATTTAGATAGGGAGGTTTCAATCTCCATGACCTATATGGAACGAAACACTGGAGGCGATTGCTCTTTGAGGTTTGGACTGCTATTTCTCTCATTTACACATCTCTGCACATGGTTTATCCAAGAAGACAATACTGGGGATTCCATCTCATTCACATTCAAAGCTGAGGTTTCTCTAGGGCATTTTCTCTCATTCCATTTGGCACAGCAGTAACTGTGTTTGACAACATCTGCCTTGCAGACACTTGGTTCCCATCCACATTTTCTTCCTGCTTGTCTTCTGAGGAAGATGTGTTCACAACAGAAAGAAGACAATGAAGTTGAACCAGAGCTGCATTTTCCCACCGAATGTGAGTCATGAACCCACCAAATCTTTTCACTGACCTTTTACTCCAATTCATCCAAAGACTTTTGACATAAACCGATATTCTCTAAACCAGCCTGTTGTCCTTTGGGATTCTTGAGCATTCACACGTAATTTTTAAATGTTATTTTTTAGACTTTTGTATGTCTAGTTCCTCTCAAAGTTTCCTCAACTATAAAAGAAAACATAACCCCTCACCAATTTTACTGACAATTTCTAACCAAAAGAAAAGATACAACTAAATCCTAAAGCATCTTGTATGTGACTATTGTTAAAGCATGACTACTTTCATAAAAAGTAGATATTTAATAGGAAATTATATTCCATAAAACTTTTAATAATCTTCAGTTCAGACAAATCGTATGACTATAAGAAACTGACTTAGGCGAAAATTCCAAAACTTATCAATCAAAAGATTTATCTACATTCTGAAATAACTTATATCATTTCCCTAAACAGGAAACTCAGAATATAGTTCATTAGTAGCAATTGCCATTTAAATTATTACCTACTTTCATTAAACTGTCTTTGTTATTTTGCTATGACTTTAAATTCTAACAGATTGTTTCAAAATGTCATTCTATTTCTACTCAACAGAAAGCCCTGTGCCATTATGTTCTTCTTCATTTTATGAGATCCTAAAATTTCCCTGTGCCAGACAATACATAAACAGCTGGTGATATTAAGTTGCCTTTAGGAAAAAAAAAATCCTTTGGCTTAAAAAGATATGATTTGACTTCAAAATTTATGAGATTTCTCAGCATACTTTACAACTGGGTTTTCAGGAATATATATATTTTACTTATTTGCTCACATAAAATTTGAGAAAGGAAGAATGTGCTATAAATGAATACCTTGTTTTTTAATGGCTTTATGAGTGGAAACGACCTAAAGACAGAAAGTGCAAGAAGGGCACTAAAATGACAAGATACTGTCTGGAGCACAGACAGTATTACCCAGGTGCTGGCGTTTATATTTCAAACTCCCAACTGCTGCATTTCTTACTCATTAGAGATGAGTCTAAATCAGTATTGCCTCCTTGACTTACCTATGCGTATAGGGCAAAAGAAGCAATACGAAAACAAAGTCCTTCTGCTTTGACAAAGTAAAAACTTCTAGATGAGCACATTCAATCTCAGAAACATTAGCACTTGTCCAGTTGTACCTTACTGAAGCAAACCAAACATTTGAAAGTCTAGGCAAATTAGAAGCTGATGACTCCTTTCACAAATATATGTGTGTTTCATTTCAACTTCTTTTAAATGCAAGTTTTTTCTTTTTAGCATACTAAATTGTGATTTTAATACTTAAATATTAAAATTACATGCACACACACACATACATATCTCCAAGAACATAAGTGATATACAAAGTTAGGTTTACTGGCCAACTCTAAATGTTTATCCTTGCCACACTTCTCCCCCTTACAATCACATCCAATTTGAGATCTAGTTGCTATCACAGAGTCACACAGTTTTCATCAGACAAAAACCTGTGGGTTGTACTCCTATATTCAACAGTCAAATGAGTCAGTTTCACATAGCAGCTCTCAGTCCCCTTTGTCCTTTAAGTCAGGTTCCTGATTTCTTCAGGCCACAGGCCCCTTAGAGATGCTATTATATAATGAAATAAACTTACTGTTTTCTTTAACACTTTGAGAGCATAAGGCTTCTGGGTCCCCTTCTGTTTGCATCTGTACACAATGGATGTAGCACCCCTTGAGGGGGAAAAAGACAAAAAGAAAATGTTATGCTTTGGACATGGATTAAAAGGGAAAGCTTAAAAATAAGTGTCTCTGCCAGTAACCCTCATAACCGACAAGCGTTTATAAATTCTACTACAGCAACAGTCCTAACTGTCAAGAGTCCTTTTTTCTCATTACTGAATATCATTTTCTCAGAAAAGTCTAGATTTTCTACCCTGCTCTTTCCCTCCTGACCCATTCCTATACAGGTAACATACCTAAGGCTGTTGCATTCAGTAAGTTCTGAGATAAATCATGTCCTCAGGTAAACACAGTTTTCGAAGAAACTTCACCTGATTTCAGAAACCCAGAGCATTCCTAAAGGAATACATTTGGAGTAAAACAAACCATATGACTTCAGTAAGAGGGTTTAAGTTCAGCACTCTGTAGTTTCACTACTTGGCAAAGGAGCTGGGAACACACCCTCCCTCACCTTCTTTTTTTATTTTTTTCAACTTGTAAAGGAGAATAGTAAGAAGGGTCTCAATAACTATCTTCATGTATGTCCAAGGTTACTAAAAAAGAGCATTAAAAATCAGGACAGTATGATCAAAATACTACCACTCCATACATGAAGCAAGAAAGTAAGAGAAAGAAATAGACCAAAGGAGACCCACAGACCAAGCAAGCTTAAATTTCAACTTCAGAAAGAGAACTTCCAGACACATCTAAAAATAAGGTCAGTTTGAATTAAACCTGTCAGACTTTGAAGATTAGGCCAAAGGACCTCTTGTGATATATTCAGTCCTATGGTTCTAAAATTCGAAATAATCACAAAGAATTATAAAAACAAACACATTTCCAGCTATCTAAGCTTAGCAAATTTTTAACAGAACTAATAGAAGCCATAGACTAGTGTGTTATAAATGCAAATAGTTAAGAAAAATGTTACCACATTTTAAAAAACCTTGGTAAGATATGATATACACAAAGAAATAAAGGGTTCTATTTATTTCTTTGTGAAGGTAAATAAAAATAAATATATGAAGGTAAATATAACGTTTCCTTATTTTTAATTGTGTTAAAAGATAATAAAAGCAAAAATATTAATGCATTTTGTTTACAGTATATATGAAAGTAAAATGTATAACAACAGTAGCACAAAGGATAAAAGGAAGAAATTAGGAAATAATGTTGTAAAGACATTATACTACATATTAGGTAGTATAATATTATTTAATGTAGATTCTGATTAATTAAAAATGTACATTATGTAACTTAGGACAATGACTAAAATAATTATTTAAAGGAAAATCAATAATAATTCAATAATGGAGCAGTCTAGAATGGAATAATCAGAAATAAAATGCAAAGAAGCAGAAGCAAAAAATTAGGCCAAAGGACCGCTTCTGATATATTCAGCCCCATGGTTCTGATATCCTAAATAAACACAAATAATTATAAAAATCAAACACATTTCCCGCATCGAAACATAATGCATTTTTAACAGAGTCAAGAAAAGTCATGACTGGTGTGTTGTAAATGCAAACAGAGATGTAAAAAATACAACAGCTAAAAATTTGGTGATTTTTAATCCAATCATATGATTGATTACATTATAAGCCACCAATCAAAAGTTAATCAGATTGGATTTTAAAAACAAGGCAAAACTATATACTATATATAAGAAACCCATTCTAAATATATAGTAAAAAAAATAAAATAATATAAAAAGTATACTATGTAAACCCTAATTTTTAAAAAAGCAAACTAGCTATAATAATATCAGACTACATCAATTAAAAAAAATAAAGAGGGACATTAATTATAAAGGGGTCAATTCCCCAAAATGACATAAAAACAGTGCTTCAAAATACATGAAGCAACAACTGATATAACTAAGTAATAGACAATACACAAAAACATTTGGAGACTTCAACATACTGTCTCAGCAATTGATAAAAAAATAGAAAAACTCTTACCAAGGATACAGAAGACTAGAATTTCCTTATCAACAATTTAAACTAAGTGACATTTAGAAGAAACTCTATACAAAAACAGCAGAATGCATGTTCTCTTCTAAGTTATATGACTCGCATATGTGATGCATAGATTAACTATAAAACTACAGTAATCAAGAGAGTGGTATTGAAGAAAGAGCAGACATTGAGAGAAATAGAATGAAACAAAAAAAAAATCCAAAAATACACACATATGGACAATTTGTTTCTGACAAAGGTAAACAGGCAACTTGGTGGAGAGGGAACAGTCTTTCTAACAAATAGTGTTGTAATCTTGGAACAATGGGATACCCATATGCAAAAAAAGTCAAAAATAAAGTATATTCATACCTTATGCCATACATAAAAATTACTCAAAATGGGTCATAGCTAGAAATGTAACTCCCAAAACTATAAAATTTATTTTAAAAACCTAAGAAAAGTTTTGTGACTTTGCGTTAGGTAATGATTCATTAGATACAAAGCCAAAAATACAGTAAATAAAAGAACAAATAAATATATTGTTCATCACTTGAGAATGTCTGCTCTTTGAAAGTCACAAACTAGGAAAAAAGTTTATGAATCACATATCTGAAAAGGACTTGTGTCTAGAATATAAACAGAATTTCCAAAACTCAATAATAAAAACCAAACAACATATAAATGGGAAAAAGATTTGAATGCATACAACTGATAGCACAAAAATACAAAGGATCTTAAGAGACCAGAACAAACAGTTATACGCCAACACATTGGATGAATTAGAAGAAATGGATAAATTCCTAGACTTAACCTACCAAGACTGAATCATGATGAAGTAGAAAATTTGAGTGACCAATAATGAATAAGGTGATTAAATCAGTAATAAAAAGTCTTCCATCAGAACAGAGCCTGGGCCTGATGACTTTACTGCTGAATTCTAACAAACATTTAAAGAAGAACTAGTACGAATCTTCCTCAAATTCTTCCAAAAAATAAAAGTAGGGAATACTTCCAAACTCATTTTATGAATCCAGCATTACCCTGATATCAAAGCTAGACAAGGACATTACAAGAAAAGAAAACATTCCTGATGAACACAGATGCAAAAAACCTCAACAAAATACTAGCAATCGCTGGGCTTGGTGGCTCAGCCTGTAATTCCAGCACTTTGGGAGGCTGAGGTGAGTGGATTGCCTGAGCCCACAGATTCAAGACCCACCTGGGTAACTTGACGAGACCCCATCTCTACAATAAATCAAAAATTAGCCAGGCGTGGTAGCACGCGCCTGTAGTTCCAGCTACTTGGAAGGCTGAGGCGGAAGATCGCCGGAGCCCAGCAGGTGGAGGCTGATCACG